CAGTACCTTTTTTATTTACTCCTAGATATCTATAAATTTATGTTTGGTTATTCACTTTATAATCTGAAGTTACGAAAAGAGATTTTTTTCTGTGGCTTTATCAGTTCCAGAAAACAATCAGCAATTTAGATTTCATGAACAATTGGATTATACGTCATCGGAGCACATGTGCTTGGGGACAGAACCCTCCCCCTCGGTATGTAATATTGGTACATGTATATCACAAAAATTCAATTCACGAATTCAGAACCCTAACTTCCAATATGAAAGTCTCTCCATAAAAAAATCAACCAGATTTATAATATGAAAACTTTCTTGATAATATCAACCGTTTTTTTTTTATTAGAAAAAGGCAGATCCCTGACGCGTCTTAACGCCCCTTGAAGTTTTCTTTGAAAGGGGTTAGATTTAACTGGTATATTCTCACGATTAGGTTCACAATTTATTATTTATTTATCATATATAGTAACACATCTTCAGACACAAACGAATTAGTATGTTAATTGAGAATATTTTGGATATCTGATGTTAATACACATAGGTAAATGTACAGAATGAATGCTGAAGAAGGGACTGGATTGCATATTCCTCAGAGCGCTGGAAATGTATGTCTGTGATAAATAAAATAAGAAGTGTCAATTTAAAAATAATTAACCACAAACTTTGAAAAGAAGAAATACGAAAATATTTCTTCAATCTATACATCCCCTCCCTTACCTTGCCCCAGCTATATACAGTTCCTCAGAACATGTTACCACCTTTACCCCTCCCCCTTTCGCAGTTTCGTGAACACATAGCATGGCGGGTTGTTGTACCTGAATCAGTCTGGGTCAACCAGCATTATACATTCATAGACAGGGTTCGAGGGCAACATTCGTTTTGTCGGAACCAAGAACCAAACTGTTTGCACGAGACGATTAGGCCGAAGGCAAATAGTTTTGTTCAAGAGGTCGACAAAACACGTTTTTGCCAGATCTAGAGAACACATTCGATAAATGTTTTGTTATACATTTTACTGTTTACTATGATATTATCATGATGAATTTTTTGTTAACCCTCACTGCATTGAAAAACTGTCAATTCCGTAAAGTTCTGACAGCTGATCCCGCCCACACTTTGACATAAACGGTGCAATATCTCATCGAAATGTCCAACATCTCGCTCCACGGTCAAACTGCTATTTATTTGACTATTTGACGTATGAAAACAGTAGAAAGGTTATTCTTTTTAGTGTAAATTTATGCAACAATTTTTAAAAGTATAACAAACAAAAATTACAGACAATTCACCTGAAAATTTTTATTAAGAAATTTTCCAAATTATTAATCGGGTTGTTCTTTTTTTATGGAGAGGTTTTTATATTGAAAGTGAATATTCGTGAATTCGTGAATTGAATTTTTGTGATATACATGTACCAATATTACATACCGAGGGGGAGGGTTCTGTCCCCAAGCACATGTGCTCCGATGACGTATAATCCAATTGTTCATGAAATCTAAATTGCTGATTGTTTTCTGGAACTGATAAAGCCACAGAAAAAAAATCTCTTTTCGTAACTTCAGATTATAAACTGAATAACCAAACATAAATTTATAGATATCTAGGAGTAAATAAAAAAGGTACTGGCAGTATAAAGAGATGAAAACAACACCAAGTATATGCATTTGACTTTATTTTGCGACTCCCCCTGCGATATGCTTTCCCATAAACGACTCCCCCCTACGTAACCGTTACTGTCTGGAGAGAAAATGTCTTAATTATTATTTTTTATAAAGTCTAGTCAAGTTTAAGTTGTTGCATTTAAAAGATAAACGTTTTCTCTCGCTGTTTTAAATGTGAGAATCCCTACGCAAGCCGTAGATTGTGCAAATCATGCATGTTTTTACTACCCGATCTACGTAAATATGAAAACTGTCAAATAGTTTCGAAGTGTTTGAGAAAACTAGACGTATAGGATAGCCGGACAAATGACCACGATAAAGCTTAACTATTGTCATCTTCCGTGGGATATTTAGTTTTTGTAAATACATCTTATATATACCGAAAAAAGACGTGACCCACATCTTCTCTGACTCCGAAGCGGTGAAAATCTACTCCCCCATACGTTGAAAACGACTCCCCCATACTTTTTAGCGACTCCCCCGCGTTACCCGTTGTATACGGTGAGAATGAACACGACTAAATCAGCTTGTATTTAACAATGGGGGAATAAATATGTATAAGATATACGTTTATGATTATATTTGTATATTTTTAGTGATTTAATCTAAAATAATATATTCCGTTCCGTTCTGCTTTTCGTTCTGTTTTCCGTTCCGCGTTTAAGAAACACCCTTTAAAATGCTACTCCTCCTACACTTTTGGTCTGATTTCAATATAACTTGGCATACAAGTAGACTACACTGAGATACATGAATATCGGTTTCTGATTTCCATGAACGGTGTTGCCGTGGATACTAAAAATAGAAATTTCAGTGAAAAACATTCAAAATGCTGCTCCTCCTACAGTTTTGGTCTGATTTCTACGGAAGCGTATTAGTGCCACTTAAACACTTCACTTTTTTTTAAATTTCTACACTTTAATCTGTAAATTTTATACTTTAATCTGTAAATTTTACACTTTAATCTGTAAATTTTACACTTCAAAGTGTAAATTTTACACTTGAAAGTATAAATTTTACACTTTAATCTGTAAAATTTACATTATTTACACTTTAATCTGTAAATTTTACACTTTAATCTGTAAAATTTACACTTTAATCTGTAAAATTTACACATTAATCTGTAAAATTTACAAATTAATCTGTAAAGTTTACACTTTAAAGTGTAAATTTTACATTTTAATCTGTAAATTTTACACTTTAATCTGTAAAATTTACACTTTAAAGTGTTAATTTTACACTTTAATCTGTAAAATTTGCAGATTAAAGTGTAAATTTTACACTTTAATCTGTAAAATTTACACTTTATTTTGAAGAACCTTAACGGTAATCGGTTATGATTGAACGGTCGATTTGTGATGTTTTACCTCTGACACTTGAAAAAAAGTATTAAACTGTGATGTTTACAATTGTTTGCATATTTTTTTACATGTACTTGTACATGTTTATTAGTATATGATAAACAAGGATGGACTTTTTCCTCATGGGTCTCGTAATTTTCCCCAGCATAAGAAATCAGGGGTCTGCTTAATTTTAGTATATATACAGGTGTTTCTTTAGTTTTACTATAGTGTAACGAACAGTAAAATATATATATCAAAGATTTTTTTTATTTGCGGTTCAGATTAATATTACAAGTTTATGGTTCTATGGTCATGATGAAATGATATATTAAAATTACGGTCATTTTTTAACGTAGCATTCAAGAAACGTCATTGAATCAAAGGATATAAATTTCATTGCCGTTCCAAAATTAATATAAACATACTTTAGTTATTATTATACGTACATGTATATACTTTACTAAGGCTCAAACCACTAAAATTAATGCCAAAAATTGGTTATTTAAAAACAATCAATCAATTCAACTGTTGACGTAAAATTTACAGATTCAATAATTGAACTATTGAGCGCATTAAACGAATTTGCGTATGATGATATCAATATCACATTCATCGAGAATATGTACATGTATATGTTTGATATGCTCTTCATTTATATGCTAAGAAAAGTTTAACTTGTATCAGTAATACTATTTTGATTATCATTTGCATTTATCATAAAATAGATAATCAGAATTAAATATTATCTTGCATGATTAACGGTCTGTTGGCTTTAAAATGCGTTACTAAGGATGTATGAAGTTGCTAAATTGACTATGTGAATAAACAAATAAAGTGTAAATTTTACAGATTAAAGTGTAAATTTTACAGATTAAAGTATAAAATTTACAGATTAAAGTGTAAAATTTATACTTCAAAATGTAAAATTTACACTTTAAAGTGTAAAATTTACAGATCAAAGTGTAAAATTTACACTTTAAAGTGTAAAATTTACTGATTAAAGTTTAAAATTTACAGATTTAAGTGTAAAATTTATACTTTAAAGTGTAAAATTTACACTTCAAAGTGTAAAATTTACAGATTAAAGTGAAAATTTACATATTAAAGTGTAAAGTTTACAGATTAAAGTGTAAATTTTACACTTTAAAGTGTAAAATTTACAGATTAAAGTGTAAATTTTACACTTTAAAGTGTAAAATTTACAGATTAAAGTGTAAAATTTACAGATTAAAGTGTAAAATTTACAGATTAAAGTGTAGAAATTAAAAAAAAGTAAAGTGTGCAAGTGGCACTAATACGCTTCCGTAGATTTCATTATAACTTGATACACAGTAGACTACACTAAGATACGTAATTCTGCGTATCAATTTTTGATTTCGATGAACGGTGTTGGCGTGGTTACTAAAAAATAAAATTTACGTGAAAAACATTCAAAATGCTACTTCTCCTACAGTTATAGTCTGATTTCAATAAAACTTGGCACACAAGTAGACTACACTAAGATACATAATTCTGTGTATCGGATTTTGATTTCGAAGAATGGTGTTGCCATGGTTACTAAAATTAAGAAATTTCTGTGATATACTTTAAAACTGCAATTCCAATGCAGTTTTAGTCTGATTATAGTACATGTATAATGTGGCAGTTAAGTACTGTACACTGAGATACATGTTCATTATTCTATTTATTGCTGTTGTGAAGTTTCAGGTCCCAACTGCAACTTTTCTTTGTTTAAAATACAAACCAGTAGAGTTACAGTCTCAACAGAGACTTCTGGTTACTATTTACCTTTTCATAACAACAACTACAAGAAAACAAGAAACAAGCACAGTTTCCCATAATTTATGTCAGCAATACAGTGTATCAATGTATACAAATAATAATGTTCAAAGTAAACAAAAAATTATAACTTCAGTCTTGCTGATAAAATTGATGACATAATATTTAGACTTCTTGATCATTGCACACATTTTGAACTGGTCCCTATATTGCTTTCATCTCTATCCTTGAGCTGCCTGTGACTGCTTTTTCAGTAAAAGGTCCATATAGGCCACAGAAATAAGGTCCTTCTTTGACACCCCCAGTTTCCCCATGAGGTCATCTGCAATCTTCTGTCCCTCCTCAACGGATTGTCCCTCCTGCATCTGTACCTGTAAATGTAAATACAAAACATGTATAGTCATACTAGAGATATCCAGTGTTTAGAGTAAAATACTTTAAGATTAAGTAATTTGACCTTCCATGTCTTTTTCATTGTATTTGAGATATCAGCGTTCAAGATACCAAAGTTTAACTGTACATATTATAGCACTGACAGAAAACTACAGAGCCTCTTAGCCACTACATGATAACCTCTATCAATGCTCTACTCCCTCTCCCTTTCTCACCTATAATTACACTACTTACCCCTCTTACCTACTTATAGTAGTCAGTTAGTACTTGGATAGTAATAGATACTAAGACAGTACTTGACAAGTCCATTTGCTACTTAACCACCAATCTCTATTAATCAGCAATTTTAGCTATCATTTAGTCACCTACATGTAGATTACAACCAGGTAACTATATTCACAATTCACTGACCTGTGTCACTACTTGATGACCTTAATCACTACTTGCTGACCTCAGTCACTACTTGCTGACCTTAATCACTACTTGCTGACCTTAAGCACTTGGTGACTTAAGTCACCACTTGGTGATCTCAGGCACAACTTGCTGATCTCAGTCACTACTTTCTGACCTTAGTCACTACTTTCTGACCTTAGTCACTATTTGCTGACCTTAATCACTACTTGCTGACCTGAGTCGCAACTTGATGACCTCAGTCACTACTTCCTGACCTCAGTCATTACTTGCTGACCTTAATCACTACTTGCTTACCTTAGTCACTTGGAGAATTAAGTCACCACTTGGTGATCTCAGTCACAACTTGCTGATCTTGATCACAACTTGCTGACCTTAGTCACTACCTGCTGACCTAAGTCAATACTTATTGACCTCAGTCACTACTTGTTGACCTAAGTCACTACTTATTGACCTCAGTCACTACTTACTGATCTCAGTCACTACTTATTGACCAAAGTCACTACTTATTGACCTCAGTCACTATTTGCTGACCTCAGTCACTACTTATTGACCTCAGTCACTACTTATTGATATAAGTCACTACTTATTGACCTCAGTCACTACTTGCTGACCTAAGTCACTACTTATTGACCTCAGTCACTACTTATTGACCTTAGACACTACTTACTAACCTCAGTCACTACTTATTGACCTAATTCACTACTTATTGACCTAATTCACTACTTATTGACCTCTGTCACTATTTGCTGACCTCAGTCACTACCTGCTGACCTTAGAGTCAAAACTTACTGACCCCAGTCACCACTTGCTGACCTAAGTCACTACTTGCTGACCTCAGTCACTACTTATTGACCTAAGTCACCACTTATTGACCTCAGTAACTACTTATTGACCCAAGTCACTACTTGCTGACCTAAGTCACTACTTCCTGACCTCAGTCACTACTTATTGACCTCAGTCACTACTTGCTGACCTCAGTCACTATTTGCTGACCTTAGTCAATTCTTGCTGACCTCAGTCACTACATACTGACCTTAGTCACTACTTACTGACCTCAATCACTACTCAAAGATCCCTGTCTTGACCTTGTCACTTTTCTGTAATATACTTTTAAGAACATCTTACCTCCAATTCCATGAAATCTCCCAGTCCCTCCACTTGGTCTACGTGGACTCTGGTTTGTCCCACCATGTACAATGTCCTCACCTTCCTCAATATTCCTTTGACCCCAACAGCTCTACCCAGAGTCTCCTGGAAATCAGAAAAGTTCACAATGGTAACTTATAATTAAGGATTTTAAGCAATGTTATTTCTCTTTCAAAATACAATCAACCCTTGTTATCTCAAACTGGATTGGGCTGAGAGAAAAAAATTGAGATGGGAAAACATTTGAGATGTCTAGGTTAAAATATTTTTCAAAATAAGTGCACATGTTGGGACCTTCAAATCAAATATCCATGGTGTTTCAGATACTAAAGTTCAACTGTATGACAATATGGCCTTTGTAAAATTGAAAAAAATACATAAGTACATCAAGGCCCCTGAAGAGGAAAAGAACAACACCGTATAAGTGGAAATTTTAGCGAGTTGCAATTTAGCGATTTTCCTTTAAAATGGGTATTTTATTTTTAGCGATAATTAGTTTAAGCGATTTTAAAATGCTCATAAAAGAAGCTAATTTGTAAAAAATGCAATTAATTTTTAGCGATATTCAATTTTAGCGATCTCGACATCCTCGCTAATGATGCCAAAATTAAATCCTCACTAAAATTCAGCTTATATGGTATCACCTTATTCTATAAGGGTGTTTCCAAAATGTTACCTTAAATGAAGCAGGATCTTCTATGGGGGTTGTGTAAAATTCACTGAACTTAGGTCCTTCTTGGTCCGGTCTGTCATAGAAAATCAGCTCTGATTTTGCGTCCTATTAAAGGAGAATTTTTTAATGATATACACATACACATTCTGATAGATTTGAGATTTTTTTTAGATGTTGAAGAATCTAAACTATACTGACAGTTGTATAATCCAAATGTTGTGTATTCAAAAATCTTGCCTAAACGGATGCAACTTTTAAGTTCCTATGAAAAATTAAATTTTTATATTATTCTCTAATTTGAACAGATATTTAATTCAGCTAATTTTTTTAACCAATGGCAAGTTTTATTCTATTTATCATTGTACCTGGGTTTTGTCTAAATCCCTCTGTAGGACAAGAAGCTGGGGGGGGGGGATATTGTAAATGTTTTATATTTGGCAAATTGGCGAGTACGATACTTGGCAGAAATTCATGTTTCAAAAAGTTAGCATAGATTTGATTTAGGGCTTTCTGAATGTGCTAGATATAAATCTATGATAAACAAGACATCTAGCGATGTACTTGATTTAGCAGACAATGCTTTCCACTAAAATTACTAAATAGAATACACAGCCAAATATAATACATTTACAGTACTTCACCTCAACAACATTTTCAAAGTGACTTTACCTTAATGGTTCTTAATTTCAAACGACCGTTTGGAACATTGAAAAATACATCTTCTTGTATCAGTTCTTCTCCTTCCGTTCTGCTAAGTTCTTTAGCTTTCTTTTTAAACTCTGAAAGGCTTGCAATGGAAGCTTTAATTTCCACGTTTGATGGCATTCTGCAACAAAAATACCCTAAACATCCAAACGTCACAAACAATATGTCACCATAGGTAAAGCTTGGTGACAAATAATTTAACGTAATAACACAAAAAACAACATCACAAAAAACCGAATCAATACTTATTTCTCTGCCTGGAGCAAGGAAAGACTCTGAATTTCTAGTTATGACATAAAAATGACTTACAGGGCATACAAAATGCTCAGATTACTGCTACAGTGGACTAGAAAATCATTAACAGAAATTACACTGTTAAGAGCAAGAGAAGCAGATGTGATGTTTAAACTGGTAATTGGATATTTTCAGGTAACATCTGTGAATATTTTAATTGACTTTATAAGTCAGACCAGAAAACAAGTGTTCTGCATGGTTTACTTAACACAAATTGACAAACACTGGAAATTAAGGACCATGTTTTCCCTTTGTTCCAGAGCAAAAAAAACTAACTTTGTACAATTCAAATCATGACACAAATTCTCAATATTCATTAATAAAATGTTTCTTATACACATAATCAGCCATGGAACTTTTTGACCATTTTAATATCATGACAGTATCAATTTTGCATAGTGTGTGCGAGATTGACTGTGTTTTAACAACAAAGCACAGATTAATGTACTTATGAGCCTCCGAACAACAGGAAGTTATAGTTGCAATCTGATTAAAATACAGATCTCTACATAGCGCAAAGCGCAGAGACACTTTGCACTATGTAGAGATCTGTATTTTAATCAGATTGTTATAGTTGGAGATCAATAGTTCAACTGATAAAGGATGGGTTTCCAAAAAGCCCAATTAATTTTTTTTTTTATATTTCTTAATTAATTCAAACTCATTAATATAAAAATAAATAAAAATCACTGAAAAAACTAAATAATCCAGGCAGTGATATTTAATTTTTGACCAATGCATTTGAAGACATAGAAAAATGAAATACATAAACAAAATACACCCATGTCTCAACTCAGACATTAACAACCAAAAGTGTCACCTCTGTCCAGAGTGTACATAAAAAAATATTAAGTAACACGTACGGATAGGTTTGGTTTCATGTAGAGAAAATTCAAATAAAACCAACTTAAGGAAAAAACAGAGAATAAAACAATATAATGGACGAAAATGAATGTCACGTTCTGTATGATATCACAGCCATCAGATATGCTGCATATACTCGTATGCTATAGGCCTATAGTAGTCTACAATATGACTAACGTGTTACAGGCAGATAATCCTACAGAACATCGCGTTATTGGATTAGGTTTAAACATGAGTTTCGTCTCTTACAGTTGGTATTGTATCGTGATTTAAGATCATATAACACATTTCGTATTATTTACCTGTGTTGTCATCAACCGAGATAGACGATTTAATTGTTTTGTTATTTGTCAACAAATCAGTTTTCCCTCCTTTTTACGAAAAGTTTTCCTCCAACTTCTGAAGAGTTCTAATTTTCATTGGCTATCCCGTACTTAATTGTTTCGCATTTATAGCCCTTTCTTACTTTGGTTTTTTTAAATAATTCAAAACATCGTTTGTACAACAATTCAAGAGAATTTGTTATGTTTTTTTTTTAAATAAGAATGCTTTCATATTGACAAGACAAGAACCTGCCCGACAGCTTGAGCTTGGATTTCGTTACTCGGTACCTTTTGCTGGACTGTTCAGTTGTAGGGCTGGAAATCCCTAAATTTTGTACAACAAGCCTTTCTTAAAAATAAAAAGCCTTTACGCCCAATGTTTTTCTATACAAATCTTCCAGTCCAAAAGTCTGGCCACGGGGATGTCCAGGGGGATATAGCATGCATTTGGCTAATATTGAAAAATCTTATGAAATCAACTATTGCGCAAAAGAACATAGTTTCGTCAACAAAGGACTTCCACCTTTGAAACGAACTCCATTTTATGGAACTTCCAGGAGACGCATATGTGATCTTCGGTGTAACAGATGAATACATGATTAGTTCTGGCGGGAAAAATTGGATTCGTACGTCTACCTCGAAGGAAAATGTAAGTCAAATAGATGACGATTCAGGTAACTAATAGTATTCGTTATTGGGGTTTTAACAGCAACTATTACAATAACCATAGTCATTGCAGTGTTAGTAAGACGCAGGAGATCTACACGCATGTTTAAAATGCCGGAAAACTCAAAATCAAGAAGAACGCAACAGAACACGTGGTCAATCGAAAGACACACCCCAAAGTGTATGAGCGCCCAGGCCCAAAGCTCTCTGATGTAACATGCTTAAAAACAGTACAATTATATAGACGGAATATCAATAAATTTAAAAATACTGACAACCCTATGTAACATGTTTGTGTAGCTTTGAACCGAGGTGTCCAAATAAAGTGTCTGCTTCAGATTTGTATTTGCCTGTACAAAGTTAATGTGTTTAGCTCCTACCTTACTTTCTGGAATTATAGATTTAAAAAAAAATCAGTTATCCGGTGTAAAGACGAGTAATGACCCCCATCGAATAATGACCGGGGATCATTTTTCAACGACAAAAAATGACCCCCTAGCCGTAAAAAATCATTTTTTGTAGAAAAAGAGTTCCAGGGGTCATTATTTTTTATGTGAGTCGTATAAAAAAATACCCCGTCGAAAAATGACCCCTTTTAGAGTGATACAAAATTTACAAGTTTAAATTGATACAAAGCAAACAAATCG